CTTCACTACTTCAGATATGCCGTGGTGATTAAAAGGAAGAGACAGACGAAGAAAAAAGAAAAACAAAGAATTTGGTAGCCATAAAATGTTTTCAGGTCCTAAATCACAAAACGCTTTAATCCTTTTTAGAAAGCGCAAGGTATTAAGAGGTTTTAAAAAAATGTAGATGTTATTATTGATACAGAGACAGAGTCACATTCACCACAAATAACTAGGAGTTACTTCTAGGGCTACATATTGAGCACCCATAATAATTTGGCCCTGAATGGGCCATAAGTTGGTAGCTAAATTATATAGACAGATATATTTCCTTTTTTTTTTTCCGCCAGTGGCTGGTCTGGTTTATTAAAGAAGGAATTTGAAATCGTTTTTTCCCCCTTCATGTCCACATAAAAGTGAAATCTGGCATGCGAATTGATTTTCTATATAACTTATATTGTTACTCATTTCTAAGCAATAGAAATTAAAGGTAAAAGGAAATCTAGTAATTTTTGAGTAAAAATTTGCTTGGGAAGAATTATTTCCTAACTCAAGTTCAACGACCATAGAAGTCAATTTTTTAAAACCAAAACCAGCAAAACAATTAAGAAAATCTGGGAAATGGAAGTGTTGGTTCTTTGAAAAGATCTAAACAGTTGATGAAATTTTAGTAAAATGACCAAGAAAAAAAAAAAAGATACAAATTGCCAAAATTAAGAATGAAAGAGGAAACATTTGAAGCCTACTGAAATTAAAAGGAATCTAAAGAAATATTATGAACAACCTCATGCCAACAATTTGACAACTTTGTTGAAATGGGCAAATTTGTATAAATGATAAAACTGACTCAAAGAGAAATATAAAATCTGAATTGACCTTTATCAAATAAAGACATTAACTTAGTTAATTTAGATATTTAAAAATCTTTCTAGCCCAGCCAGCATGGCTCAGTGGTTGAGCATTGACCTATGAACCAGGAGGTCATGGTTTGATTCCAGTCAGGGGCACATGCCAGGGTTGTGGGCTTGATCCCAGTAGGGGGCATGTAGGAGGCAGCCGATCAGTAATTCCCTCTCATCACTGATGTTTCTATCTCTCTCTCTCCCTCTCCCTTCCTCTCTGAAATCAATAAAAAAAACTATTTAAAAAAATCTTTCTACAAAGGAAAGCCCATGCCCATATGACCTTCTTTATTGGTGAATTCTATCAACATTTATCAACATTTAAGGAATTAGTAATACTAATCAAACACAAACCCTTTCAAAAAGAGAAAGGACCACTTTCAAACTCATTTTACCCTGATACCAAAGCTGTAGACAAAGCTAGCACAAGAAACTACAGACCAATACCCTTCATGACTATAAATGCTAAAATTCTTAAAGGAATAGCAATTGGATCCAGTAATGTATAGAAAGGATTATACATCACAACCAAGTGGAGTTTATCCAGGAATGCAGGTTAGCTAACATCCTATCTAATAAAGCCCTAATATGCAAATCGACCGAACAGCAGAATGACAGGTATCTAAGATGTGCACTGACCACCAGGGGGCAGACGCTCAATGCAGGAGCTGCCCCCTGGTAGTCAGTGCGCTCCCACAGTGGGAGTGCCGCTCAGCCAAGCAGGGCTCACAGCTGGTGAGTGCAGTGGCGGTGGGGAGAGCCTCTCCCACCACTACAGCAGAGCTAAGGACCCCTCGGGGTCCCGGACTGCAAATTGCGAGAGGGTGCAGGCTGGGCTGAGGGACACCCCACCCCCCTGCCCCCGTGCATGAATGTAGTGCACCGGGCCTCTAGTCTGAATATAAATTGATGTAATAAACATATTAGGAGACTAAAGCAGGGCTCAGCAAACTATACCCCATAGGCCAAATATGACATGCCTTTTGGTTTTGTAAGTTTTATTGAAGGATAATCATGTCCCAAGTTGTCTATAATTGTTTTAATGCTACAATAGAGTTGATTGGTTGCAAGAGAGATCATACAACTCACAAAACCAAAAAATATTTACAATATCACCCCCTCTGGAAAATGTTGCTGACCCCTGGAATAAAGTAGAAAGCTATATGATCATCTTAATAGATGTAGAAAAAGCATTTGATAAAATCTAAAAATCATACATGATCAAGCTCTCCACAAACTAGGAATAGAAGGAAACTTCTACATAAAACCTACAACTATCATCAAACTTAAAGATCAAAGACAATGCTTTCCCCCTAACATTGGGTATAAAACAAGGATGTCCACTCTCACTACTTCTATTCAACATTGAACTGGAGCTTCTATCCAGTGCAATAAGGCACAAAATGATGAATATAAAATCAATACACAGCCAACTAGAGATGAAGAAAACAATTACATTCACAACAGCATACAAAATATTTAGGAATACATTTAACAAAAGAAGTGTAGAACTGTTCACTGGTAATTTCAAAACATTGTCAAGAAAAAGAGACAATGTTCTAGAACTGGATAATAATGATGGTTACACAACTTTATAAATTTATTCAAAGGCACAGAATTTTACATTTAACTGTATACTTATGATATGTAAATCAAATTTCAATAAAGCTTTTTAAAATTTTTATAAAAAAGATTGCTTTCTGCTGAAAACACACTCTCCATATACTGTTTGCATTGCTGTCACAGAGGACTGTCATATCCCTTTCTTTGAATTACTAATTCAGGTTGGATTAACTGGTCCTGCATGAAATCAACACTAACTTGATTTATTTCTCTGCCTCTTTTATCAGCCTTTGTTTATGCCCATACTTAGCTTTACCAGTTAGACCCTTCTCACAGTGTGGTTCAGGGACTGAATCAGAGAATCTGCTAGGTTAATACACTTTTCATAATAATTCTAATACAGTATTTACCTTTTTACTATAATCTCTCATGAATATACAATGAAGCTTTCTAGAGCCTTTATGACCCGTGCATCACAATAGATTGGAAGCAGAAGCAGACATGAGAATCCAACTGTTTGTTTGTTTTTAATTAGGCCAGACATTAGATTCACAATGCTACTCTTCTAATTTGGGGGGAAATATAGTTTTACTATGAAAATATGTTATGTGAGCCGAAACCGGTTTGGCTCAGTGGATAGAGCGTCAGCCTGCGGACTGAGAGGTCCCGGGTTCGATTCCGGTCAAGGGCATGTACCTGGGTTGCGGGCACATCCCCGGTGGGGGATGTGCAGGAGGCAGCTGATCGATGTTTCTCTCTCATCGATGTTTCTAACTCTCTATCTCTCTCCCTTCCTCTCTGTAAAAAATCAATAAAATATATTTTAAAAAAAAAAAAAAAAAAAAAGAAAATATGTTATGTGAATATGTAAACAATTTATATTGATATCTTAAACTACTTGACAACTAAATATTTTTTAAAGTCCTCAGTTTTTATTTATATGGCAAATATTGATAAAGCCACATAAATAAAAGCTCTTTGTACTCTTCAATCGTTTTTTGTGGGAATAAAGTTTCTTGAGATAGAAAAGCTTGAGAACCACTGCCCTTGTGTAGGAGTTAGAAATAGAATTGGGGCAGGTCTTCTTTCAGAGGTAACCTGTCTTGGTTAAAAATACAATCTGCTTCAAGATAAATGTATAGCTTTTAGTTAGGACATCATTGAGAAATGTAGCAAATGTGAATACAAGGTATTTTTTTTCTTTTTCCTTGGTGAGTTTTGGTAAGAGCTTTAAAAGAGGTGATGAAGGTATGACTACATGAAGGCGATCTGACCTGATTTTCAGAATCAAGAGAATACTTCTCTGAGGATGTGCCAGTTGAGCTCAAAACGAAAGATGAGCTAAAGGAGAACTAGTGCTGGGGGCACATCCGAAAGCCTTCGAGGTAGGAGAGAGAATGATGAGAAGCCCACAGGGTCCGAGCCACGATTGCGACTAGTAGTAGCACTACAGTCCAAACTATTTGGGGCTTTATAGACTTTGCCGAATACATTAAACCTTTACCAGGTGCCCAATGGGGAGCCATGGAAAATTGTAGGAGAGGGGGATGTGACAGAACTAGATTTGTATTTTTTAAAAAATATATTTTTATTAATTTCAGAGAGGAAGGGAAAGGGAGAGAGAGATAGAAACATCAATGATGAGAGAGAATCATTGATTGGCTGCCTTCTGCACGCTCCCCACTGGGGATGGAGCCCGAAACCAGGGCATGTGCCCTTGACCGGAATCGAACCTGGGACCCTTTAGTCCGCAGATCGACACTCTGTCCAGAGCCAAACCGGCTAGGGCTAGATTTGTATTTTTGTAAGATCCCTGGGAGCTGGAGTCTAGGAGATCAGAGTGAAAAAAAGCATGGAGACTATTTACAGGGCTACCGCATTATCCAGGTGAAAGACAGAACCTTGGAACACAGCAAAGGCAAGGGAACCGAAAGAAGTGGGTGAATCCGTGATGGATTGTGCAGATCGGGCCTCCAGGACTGGTGATTACAGTTCAACTAGCACAGTCGCACCAAGTTGAACCCCCTTCCCAGCAAGGAAATCAACTAATGGGGTTATTGCGAAGTTGCAAACTCTCCCCTCCCACCTCTTTTCTCCTCGGCATAGATAGAATCAAAGGCCCCCGTGATCCCGAGGGTCTGGTGTGTCCTGGCAGCACAAACAAACCGCGTACAGGGCTGGGTCCTCCAGGCCGTGTAAGGGACTCCTGCGACTTTATCCCCCGGAGGTCGGTGGCACAGAACCATGCAGTTTCCCGGGCAACGCCATTGTCCACGCTCTGGGCGGGGGAGGGGTAACTAAGAACAACGGCCATAAGAGAACGCGGGAAGAAAAGGCGAGTCAGAGGGAAAAGGGGAAAATGGGCGGCACGTGCGGCGGCCCCCGCCATCACGGGTGATTCGAGGACTCGGCACAAGGCGAGAGTGGAGGGCGGGCGGAGCCAGAGAGCGCGCCGCTCTGATTGGCGGCGCCGGGGTCCTGGGCCGCCTGTGATTGGGCGAGGCCTCACAGAGGCCTGCTTTTTTTTGAACCGCGTAGGGTTCTGGGTAGCAAAGGCCTTGGAAGGGTCTTAACCGAAAGAGGGCGGGGGCAGGGCGCCAACAAACGGCTGAGATCACAATCCGTCTGGGACCAGGCCGGGGCGTTCCCCTACGTCCATGGAGAGAGCCAGGCCCGAGCCGTTGCCTCAGCCACGCCAACTGCCGCGGGCGACCCCGCCGCGTCCACTGCGCCCCGCTCCGCCCCAGCTGCCGGTCGAGGGCACCCCCTTTCGCCCTCCGTCGCCCCCAGCCCCGTGCGCGGCCGCCATCGCGACCGTGGCCTCGCCGTGCGGGGAAGTACCGGCGTCGGGCGTACAGCCCCCCGTACGGCGGCTGCTACAGGTGAAGCCGGAGCAGGTGTTGCTGCTGCCGCCAGGGCCACCGCTGCCTCCGGCGAGGGACGAAGACGCCGCCGCCTCGCCCGCGCAGGCGCGGCTGCTGCAGTTGAGGCCGGAGCTGCTGCTGCTGCCGCCGCCGCCGCCACCCACACCCGAGGGCGCCCCCTGCAGGCCCGAGGTGCACCCGGTGCCGCCCCGGGTGCTGCAGGTCAAGGCGGAGAAGCAGGAGCTGGGGCCCGGCTCGGATCCCTCCGCGGGGCCTCGGAGGGCTGTCGAGGCGAGCCCCAGGGCCTCCAGGACGGCCAAGGTGGAAGGCCCCGGGCCGGCCCTGGACAGTCGCCGAGGGGACCAGAAGAAGAGCAAGTTGGAGGTGGAGGAGGTCATGCGGGCCGCGGAGAAAGGCGGGGAAGGCAAAAGCCTGACGGCCATCAGAGAGAGAATCATCAAGACCGAGGAGCCCGAGAGACTGCACGAGGACTGCAGACTCGACAGGGAGCCCGCGTCGAATGGGCTGGTCCATGGCGGCAAGGAGGTGATCCTGGCCCAGCCGTCCAGCGCCTTCGGGCCGCACCAGCAAGACCTCCGGATCCCTTTGACTCTCCACACGGTCTCCCCTGGGGCCCAGATCCAGTTTCAGGGACCGCCACCTTCAGAGCTGATACGATTGACCAAGGTCCCCCTGACACCAGTGCCTATTAAAATGCAGTCCTTGCTGGAGCCTTCTGTAAAAATTGAAACCAAAGATGTCCCGCTCACCGTGCTTCCCTCAGACGCAGGTATTAGACGGCAGGGGAATCTGGTTTTCAGATTTCGTCTATGTTGCCCCATAGCTGACATGTCAGCAGTTCAGAAGCCTAAACTAGAAAAATAAAATCATGGAACTGATTCTTTTCAGGGCAAAGTCTGCACAGGTATCACTTCTGATTGACTTGTACATATGCCAGTAAAATACACTAACACGTTCAAGATTACCCAACATTTTTTTAATTAAGGCCCAATGAAGTTGAGATTTAGATGTGACTGTTTACACACAAAAATAGAAATATTTTTGCTAGATGATACAAAGCCCTCGGTTTATATGCTACAGATAATATTTTAAAATATTATAGTAGATCAATATTTTTGCATGTATCAAGAAGCCGAAGAAAAAAATTGTGTTTAATGAAAAAAAAATGGTTATTAAAATAAAATAATTTAGAGGTGATTTTTCTTCTTTAAAAAGGAACAGTAGGCATTGTTCTGGAAGAAAACAGTACATGATTAAATGTAACATTTTAGAATTATAAAAGCTAAGGACTTAAAAAATTTGGAAAATGAAAATACTGTAGAATAAGCTAAAAATGTTTTCAAAGAAGTGACTGTAGTTATAGTGGTAACAACTACAAGTAGTTATTTTATTCTATCCATTATTTCCAGATATATAGCTAGAAAATTTCTTATTTCAGGTTTCAGACAAAACACTATGCCAATGAATGTCATAAGTTATACTAATCTTCATGTTTCATTAACTTTCATATTTTGTTTTTGTTACTTTCTTTACTGATTCTTTCTCCTCACTTGGCCTTCTTATTTTTAACTTCAGTATTTTTTAAATGTTTTCGTTTTCTAAAGGAAAGAGAAAGCTTTCTTTATAATGCTTATTTCATCCTTTATGTCAAGTCACCTAAAGAGAAACAATATAAGAAGTTTATAGATGTTTTTGATGAATTATGTAAGAGATAGGAATTTAGTCAACTTACTTTATTGTAATATCAACTGGGTCTGTGATTCTTAAATAGTCACTTTTCTTATTTTTCTCCCAGGACATGGGACTAGCGTTGTTGACCCATAATGGTAGGAGTTTCACCTTCATAATGAAATATAACTAATATAATATTATAATATTATAAATATTTTGCTTGAATGGACACTACAACGGCATGTAAATGAGTTCCTTGAAACATTGTGGGAGCACCTACCTAGTGCTAGGATTATAGTCATTAATTAAGTCATAGTTCTTGTCCCCCATTAATAGAATAGTTTTTAATGGGAAGTAAATGGTAATGATTGTTAGAGGTATTGATAAAGCTCAAAGAAGTAATAATCCAGCGGTTTATTGTCTTCAACATTATTCCACGATACTTAAACAATATTATTATTTTGAGAAATAGAAGAGTCATTCTACAGTTTAGAATGCTGAGTTCAGGGGTAATGAGTTCTGGAACACTGGCAGTTCTTTGGCTATATTCAAGTGTATATTTTCTCCAGATAGTGAAAAAATAAAAATGGAGGTGCATTTCACTTTAAAATTGTATGTGTGAGTGTGTGTGAAACACATTAATTTAGTCTCTTAATTTTTGTCAATGTAGGAATACCAGATACTCCGTTCAGTAAGGACAGAAATGGCCATGTGAAGCGACCCATGAATGCATTTATGGTTTGGGCAAGGATCCACCGGCCAGCACTAGCCAAAGCTAACCCAGCAGCTAACAATGCAGAAATCAGTGTCCAGCTTGGGTTAGAGTGGAACAAACTTAGTGAAGAACAAAAGAAACCTTATTATGATGAAGCACAAAAGATTAAAGAAAAGCACAGAGAGGAATTTCCTGGTAATCAAATGAACAAAGCTTCTAATTTCTTTTAAATAAATTTATTTAGGTAAAGATTTGGTTAGGCTGAGATTGAAAGACAAAATGTGTAATCTTTTTTCTAATCTGATATATACAATAACGAACAATGGCTAATATTATACTAATGATTGATACTGTGCATAAGTTTCATTAAACAGAACCAATTAGAGGGCTATCTAGTCTTATTTGCTAACTAATGCAAACCAGGGGACATACAGTTTTATTGTGTTTTTGATTAAATATATAGATATAAACTTCTGAAGATAAAAGCTCCAGAATTCTAGGCTATAGTTTTGTAAGCATACCAGAAAAGTTTTAAAATTATAGCAATAGAAAAAAAAAAGCATGCATGCTTAAAGGCAATGAGAATACAGGGATTTGCACCAGGCTCTATTTTAATATTATATGATTATCAGAACATAGTCCTGCCTTTTGATTGATAGATTTATCCTCATCATGATGTAATTTGAAATGAATTCTGATTTCTTCCCCAGCAGTGGGGACATTAAGATTAAGTCTGGGCCCTGCCAGCATGGCTCAGTGGTTGAACATCGACCTATGAACCAGGAAGGTCATGGTTCAGTTCCTACTCGGGGTACATGCCTGGGTTGTGGGCTCAATCCCCAGTGTGGGGCATGCAGGAGACAGCCAATCAATGATTCTCATCATTGATGTTTCTATCTCTCTCTTCCTCTCCCTTCCTCTCTGAAATCAATAATATATATATGGATAGATAGATTAAGCTTGGGATAGCAGCCAGCATAACTATGCATGGTAGAAAAAGAATTACTCCCTCTGTCCCATAATAATAGTAGCAGTTGATGAATGTAATTTGTCCCATAATAATAGTAGCAAAAGAAAATAAATATAGAACGCAACATTTATTATAAAAAAAAAAACTAGATTAAATTAAACAATAAATTAAAAATAGTACTCCTAATTTTTATTTTGAGTGTTCAGATAGTTTCTGGATTTTTCAATAATTTCGTTACTGCATTTTAAACTTGTAGGCAGGATCCCTTGGCTGCAAAGCTTTGCTTTCCCTGTATGCGTGAGCTTAAAGTTATTGGAGCCGTCGTTCTTCATTGCTTCCAGCATAACTTGTTGAAGTGACAGAAATGTATTATCCAGTATTTCGGGAGAAATATTATCAAAGGCTAATATGGTGCGTCTTCTGCTAAGAGGAATATGTCTTAAGTTTTTCAAGTTTTTCTCCATAATCTTTGCATTTATGTCCACAGTTTGTTTTTTCAAAGAATCAACATTAGCATAAGAGTCTCCTTGACAATTATTTTCGGAAGCACGTTTCCAAATTCTTGATATGGTCATTCTGTTGCACTTAAATTGTTTTGCAGCTAACGTAATTGCACCTTTCTGCAACTTTTCCTTTTTCTTTTGATGCATCAAGAACTGGACAATCGCAACTCTATCTTTGCTTGAAAACTCTCTTTTTTTCATCTTATTTTTACAATGGGTTGATACTCAACTGAAATAAAACAATTGATTTCGATCAGCGGATGAAATCAGAAAAATAGTTACAATTCGTAATAATTAGATTAACCTAAAAATTGAAAGATGTGTCAAAACAAATGACAGATGTCATGAAACATTGATTTTGATTGAAGGCTTCGCAATTTTGCGCTACAACATAACTTACAGCTGCATTTGCCAATAATTCCCGTTTAAATATTCACTTGCTACTATTTTATGGGACAGAGGGAGTATTTTTTCTAAAGTATGAGCAAAGAGATCCCAGAGGCAGCAATTATAGGGAACCAGCAATTCTGGTTATACTGTGGCTATAACTGCCATAATGCCACTCTTCTGACTTTGGAAGGAAATGTGGTTATTTGAACTTGGAGACTGCCAAGTCTAGGTGAGTGACTTCCTAAACGAGGCATAACAATAGCGATTGCTCATTATGACCATTTCAGTGTAAGATATAGGCAATTGTATCTTAGAGAAAGTAAGAAAATAGGAGCCCGGCTGGCGTGGCTCAGTGGTTGAGCCTCGACCTATGAACCAGAGGTCAGGGTTCGATTTCCGGTCAGGGTACATGCCCAGGTGGCGGGCTCCATCCCCAGTGGGGGGCGACAGGAGGCAGCTGATCCATGATTCTCTCTCATCATGGATGTCTCTCTCTCCCTCTCCCTTCCTCTCTGAAATCCCTAAAAATAAATATGTTTTTAAAAAAAGAAAATAGAAGGAGACAGATATTGTCTTACTGGGGCATTGTTTTATAGGTAGAGGAAAAGCTTTGGGATTCAGACTTAATGCCTTTAATGTTGTTTTACTAAGATTCCATGTGTTTGGATATCAGACATTTGACTTTACTTTCTTTGAATTATCACAATGTTGGCCACTACTTAGAAGCTATATGGATATATATGCTAAAATGCATAGAAATAGTATTATAGAGCTGGAAAAGATACTTTAGACAATAACTTATTTTTTAAAAACTTAGCTAACAATGCAGAAATCAGTGTCTAGGTTTTCACTTGGTATAGAAAATAATACAATAATTAATAAATACTAATACAAGAATAAACTTTTGCATACTTATAACTGTAGACCTACTTTTGCCCCAGCCTATGTGTAAAGAACTATTTAAAGGCTATATAGGGCCCTATCTGGCTTGGCTCAGGGATAAAGCGTCAGCCTGCGGACTGAAGGGTCCCAGGTTCGATTCCAGCCAAGGGCACATGCCTGGGTTGTGGGCTCGATCCCCAGTGGGGGTGTGTGCAGGAGGCAGCCGATCAATGATTCTCTCTCATCATTGATGTTTCTCTCTCTCTCCTTCTCCCTTTCTCTCTGAAATCAATAAAGAAATACACATTTTAAAAAAATAAAAGCTATATAGGGTCCATATGTTCAAATTAAAAATAGTTTATTTTCTTCTATAGGTTGGGTTTATCAGCCTCGGCCAGGGAAGCGAAAACGCTTCCCTCTAAGTGTTTCCAATGTATTTTCTGGCACCACACAGAATATCACCTCTCCAAATCCTACAACAATTTATCCTTATCGCTCACCTACCTACTCTGTGGTAATTCCCAGCCTACAAAACACCATCATTCATCCAGTTGGTGAGTTGGTTTTATAGTAGATTATGAATCTTTTAAATAGCTGTGTGCAAATTTTACCTCAAGTTGAAATTTTGCTTTTGTTAGCTTAATAATTTAGAAAAACAATATTAAGGGGGAAAATGGAGAAAGTGAAAACATTAAATCAGAGAAGGAAAATTTTCAGTAGACATCAAAGAAGTTGGTTTGCCAGAGTGGCAAAGATACCATGTGCAAAGCCTCAGACCTTTTAAGCAAATCAGGATGAGCCCATAGAATAGCAGGTAATGCAGGAAATGTCTGAGGTCACTCAGTGGGAAAGGAGTGTCTTTTTACGATCAGCATGAAAGAACGCCTTACTAATGGGGTATGAGGCACCCTGTCCTGGAATTTAGTAATGATGACTAATCATTAAGACTGTTTTCTTGCTGCTCTAGAAAAGCAATGGAAGTAATCTATTTTTTATCAAATATTTGTCTCATTATATTGTCTTTCCCTAAATTTCTCTTCTTTGATGAGTTCTTTACAACACTTTTGTCTGTTGCGTTTAAGAACCCCAAATTAAGAATCTAGTAGCAAAACTTGTTATAGAGCTATCCATCACTGGTTTGTTCTTCCAGAACGTCTTTTAACCACATATTAGGCAGAGCTTAGGTACATCCACTACCTAAAGCTACCTGCTCAGACCCTCTGGTAATAAAGCCACCTCTATGTGCTGAGAGATTTAGATATCTTGAAAGTTGACTTACTAGAATCTTATGCATTTTCACCTTTTTTTCTATAACATTTTAGCAGTTGATAGCAACGAAGTCACATTCAGGATGTCTAGGCTGAAAAGAAAGATGCAGAAAGCACTGAGTTTATATCCTTGCTCTTTCCCAGCCCAGTCAGGCACTTTTACCCTCTCCTATTGTCAGGATCTCTTTAAGCCTGTATTTCTACCTAGGCTTAATTATGCTTTTGTTAACTTACTTTGTTTTGTCTGTTACGTTATTTATGGCTTCTGTTTTCACAATCTGTTTCTTAATCTCTTTTTCTAAGACCGTCCCCTTCCATCTGCTTTTACTCACCATTAAATGCTGTATATTTGCCCAGGGACAAATTTATCAATGTTCTTATTTGAGGCAGCTGACAGTTTTATACAATATACCGTTGACCTTTAAACAACACGGGTTTGAACTGCATGCATCCACTTATACACAGATATTTTCCCCAATACATCCAGTAGACTCTCTGTATCAGCCGGATCTGCAACCGTGATTCAACCAACAGTAAATAAATACTATTTTTGATCAATGGCTATAGAGGGCCAACTGTATTCATGGTTCTACTCTATTTTATATAGGAGACTTGAGCATTTTCAGATTCTGGTATTCGAGGGGGTCCTGAAACCAATCTTCATGGGATAACAAGGGTGGACTATATTTATGCAATTCTGAGGAAAGACAATTACCAGGAAAGATTAAATACAGAGTTGTTTTACATGTATTTAAAAATTCTGCCATATCTGTCATGCCCTGCTGCAATAAGATTCCTTTCATATCTACCACAAATTGGCCTGTGGCAAATCCTGTTCTCACTTGGGAATTTCCCACTATATTCACACTGAATGCAATACAGTAAAATAATTTTACTAATTGTTTCTTTAGCTTTTTCAATTAAAAAAATTAAATGTCATTCATAATTTAGTATACAAAATAAAATAGAAATTATGCATGCCACTGCATGGAAACCTCTATTAATGTTAAAAATAAATTAATATGTTTAGATAATAGAAAATTCAAACAGTATTGACAAATATAAAATGAAAATCTGGCTTTTTCTTCTGCTTCACTGCCCTGCCTCTCCTCCCAGACATCCGCTCCTTAAAAGTAACCTCTGTCAGTGGTTTCATATTATTTATTTTAGAAACATTTATATATACATACTAATATTGCATGTATTTGTCTTGTATTTCATCACTCAATAATTGTATTCATTAAAAAAATAGTTGAGCATCTATTCAATGTCAAGAAGAATTTAGAGCCCTGGAGATAACAGCAGTGAACAAAACAAAAGGTCTCTCCTCTCATGGCACTTAGAATCTAGGTGAGAAAGAGAAACCAAACAATCTATATATATATATAAAAGCCTAAGTGACCGTTATGACTGGATGACCAGACGGTAGCTATGATGCGCACTGACCACCAGGGGGCAGACACTCAATGCAGGAGCTACCCCCTGGTGGTGAGTGTGCTCCCACAGCCAACCTCCCACAGCCGACCAACCTCCTGTGGTCCCTCCCCCCGGCGATCGGCCCCAATCAGGACTGGGGGAGATGGCCCTGATCAGCGCCTGATAGCCGACCAGACCAAGGGACCCCACCATGCATGAATTCATGCACCAGGCCTCTAGTATAAAATAAGTAAACAAGATGACTTCAGTTTGTTCAAAATGCTGTGAAGGAAATCAATAGAGGGGATTGATATTGGTGATTCTGTTACTAGTAGGTAAGGTGGTTACAAAGGCTTCTGGTTGAAGAGTTTATTAAATTCAACTGAAACATGAAAAACATGGAGTGACTCAATTAATGCTTGACCTATGCTCTTTTTATTTTTGAAGGTGAAGCCCCACCTGCCATCCAGTTGCCCACACCTGCAGTCCAGCGTCTAAGCCCCATCACACTTTTCCAGCCTGCCGTCTCCAGTACTGCCCAGGTGGCCGTTCAGGCTCCAAATCTGCCCCTCCGCCCAGCACTCTCACCCCAGCGCTTTGCTGGGCCCTCCCAAACGGACACTCATCAGCTGCATTCTGGAGCCAGTCACTCTGTAAAGAGACCTACTCCTGTCTCTCCGGAGAGCACCAATAGGATTTCAACTAGTGCAAGTACTGCCCATGCCAGATTTGCAACCTCGCCCATCCAACCTCCCAAGGAGTATCCAAGCGTTTCCGCTTGTCCCAGAGGTGCTCCAATCCCCCAGGCTCCTCCTCTTCCACACTCACACGTCTACCAGACCCCACCCCTTGGCCATCCAGCCACATTATTTGGGACACCACCTCGATTCTCTTTTCATCATCCTTACTTCCTGCCTGGACCTCACTACTTCCCATCAAGGTAAAGGAACTTTTATTTCTTTTCACCTACAAATACATCTAATGAATTTTCACCTCTGAAGGAATCTCTTTTTTACTGAAAAAGGGACTTCCTCATTTCTGCTTGGAATCTAAGGGACCTTGAGATTATTTAGTCAACCCCCCTTACTGTATAGACCTGTGTTTCTCAAATGTTATATATATATGAATCACATGTGATCTTGTTAAAATGCAGATTCTGAGTTGGTAGGTCTGGTGTATTTCATTTAAGAATGTCAAAGCAGTACATCAGCTATAAACAAACTGCATATAGTTTTCCAAAAGAGAAGACCAGCCTTGTAAATTATATTGTTTGCTTTTCTAACTTCTACCTGTATGTATATGATGATAATTTCCCCAAGGAAATGGATAATCTTATTTATGCTTGTTTAGATAGCATATTTCAGTAAAATCCAGCTGGCTAAATAACAAATTGAATTGAGCCCCCCTCAATTTTCTTATTGTCTCTGCTCCCAACTGATAACAGAATCTTCTATAAAGAATATTCTCCCCTAATCTAATCCATTCATATGTGGAATTACTCAATCATTTCAATACCATATTTGAAATGACATTTGATATGCATATCAACTATTTAATATATATCAAATATAAATATTTTCCAGAAGTCTATTTTGACCTATATATCTAAAGTAAAAATCAAAGAGGTTAGCCAGTGTAACCAAGGAGTTATTGTATAAAACACATAGACTCAGAAGTACTGATCCCTAGCTCTGAGAGCTAACATCTCTCTCCCTTCAAATCTTAACCATCTTCATATTGTGCTTATTGAAACAATCTCTTCCTGTACTACATTAATTTCTTAGTTGAGTTCTTTTTTTTAATCCCTTTCACCTCTTCTTTCTCCTCCTTGCAGTATTTATAGTTTTATAAAGAGATATCTAGGATATTTTCATATTGGCCATTGAGTAAAGTGTATTTAAAAGTTTATTGAAAGTATGTATATAGAAAGGATGTAAAAGACAAATGGGAATTTGTTAGCTTAAAATATATAGAAAATATAATCATATATATTTATGCATATATACCATATTCACATACATACATACATATATATGTATGGGAAGGTAAGTCCAAAGAATTCCCAGGTTTATGAGAATATATAGAATCTTAACTGTAAAATTTCAAAACAACATATCAAGGTTAAAATAAATTATCCTTTACCTTTGAGTTATAAGCCTATTTAAGAATTTGATTGAAGTTGTGGACCATTTCCCATAATAATGCACATCTACAGACATATACAATGTTTTTCATAAATCTTATGGAAGAGGGAACTTAAAGGCCTCAAACAAATATGTTAGACTTAGCTAACATGGAATACCTTCTGCTGTAACTATCTAGAAATATGAAATTTAAATATTAACAACTTAATACCCAGCTGAACTTATCGTTTCCTTTGCTGTGTGGAAGTTTTTTAGTTTGATGTAGGGACATGTGCTTATTTTTGCTTTTGGTGTCAAATTCAAAATATCATCGCCAAGGCCAATGTGAAGGAGCTATGTTTTCTTCTTAGAGTTTTATGTTCTTATGTTTAAGTCTTTAATCCATTTTGAGTTGATTTTTGTGTTATAATATAATAGAACTATATTATAGTATAGTATATTATTATCATATAATAGAGGGGGTCCAGTTTCATTCTTTTGCATGTGACAATCTAGTTTTCCATTTATTGAAGATATTATTTTTCCCCATATATTCTTGGCTCCTTTGTCATAAGTTAACTGATCATATATATATGTGGGCTTATATCTGGGTTCTCTATTTTATTCCATTGACCTATGTGTCTATTTAATGACAATAGCATACTGTTTTGATTATGTAGCTTTGTAATATAATTTTAAACCAGGGAATGTAATGCCTCCAGATTTGTTGCTCTTTCTCAAGTTTGCTTTGGCTATTTAGGGTCTTTTGTGATTCCATACAAATTTTGGAATTGTTTGCTCTATATCTTTAAAAAATGCCATTGGAAGTTTGATAGTCATTACATTGAATCTGTAGATTGCGTTGGATAGTGTGGAAATTTTAACAATATTATTTATTCCGATCTATGAACATGCAATATTTTCCCATTTATTTGTGTTTTCTTCAATCTCTTTCATTAGTGTCTCATAGTTTTCAGTGTTTTGGTCTTTTACCTCCTTGGTTAAATTTATTCTTAGGTATTTTATCCTTTTTGATGCATTTATAGATGAGATTATTTTCTTAAATTTTCTGAGATTTTGTTGTTAGTGTATAGAAACACAACTGGTTTTTTGCTTATTGATTCTGTATCCTGCACATTTATTGAATTAATTGATTAGTTCCAATGGTTTTTTTGGTGGAATCTTTAGGAGTTTCTATATATAATGTCATCTACTAATAGAGATAGTTTTATGGGTTTTTTCTTGCCTAATTGCTCTTGCTATGACTTCTAATACTATGTTGAAAAAAGTGGCAAGAGTGGGTATCTTTGTCTTGTTTCAGCTTTTCAATGTTATCTGTGAATACTTAACTTTAAATAATGGATAGAAAACTATACATCCAAAAATGGGATGAAGATCAGTAAGGAACTAGAAGCCTGTACAATACATCTAAATATATACATATAAAATACTTCATCCAACAACAAAATATATATTTTTCTCAAATGCATATGATATATTCTGTAGGATAGACCATATGCTAGATCACACGATAAGTCTCAAAAACTTTAAAAGATTGAAATCATACATAGTTTCTTCTTTAGTTATGATGGAATAAAACTAGTAATCAATAACAGAAAGAAAACTGGAAAATTTACAAGTATATGGAAATTAAACAACACACTCTTAAACAACCAATGGTCAAATAAGCCATCATGAAGGGAATTTAAAAAATACTTTGAGAAGAATGACAATGAAAATACAACATACAAAAACTGAAGGGATTTTATAGTGAAAGCAGTGCTGATAGAGAAGTTTATAACTGCAATGGCCTATATTTAAAAGGAAAGATCTCGCCTGACCGGTGTAGTTCAGTGGTTGAGCTTCCACCTATGAACCAGGAGGCCACGCTTGGATTCCCAGTCAGGGCACATACCTGGATAGTGGGCTCAATCCCTGGTGGAGGGCATGCAGGAGGCAGCCAATCAATGATTCTCTTTCATCATTGATGTTTCTATCGCTCTCTGTCTCTCTTTCTCTCTCTCTTAAACCAATAAAAACATATATTTTTTTTAAAAAAAGATCTCAAATCAACAACCTAACTTTACACCTTAAGGAACTGAAAAAAGAAGAGCAAAGAAAACCCAAAGCTGGCAGAAGGAAGGGAATAATAATGATCTGAGATAAATGCAATAACGGATAGAAAAACAATAGAGAATTTCATGAAATAGAGGAATAAAAGTCAACAAAAGTTGGTCTTTTGAAAAGATCAATAAAATTGGCAAAACCTTTCGCTAGACTAAGAAATAAAGAAAGAAGACATATAGCCCTGGCCAAGTAGCTCAGTTGGTTAGAGTGTCATTCCTTTATGCCAAGATTGTGGGTTTGATCTCAGGTCAGGGCACATACAGGGGTCAACCAATGAATGCATAAATAAGTGGAACAATAAATTGATATTTTTCTCTCTTTCTCCTTTCTCCTCTCTCCTCCCTCTCTCTCTCTTTCTCTCTCTTCCCCTCTCTTCCTTCCTCTCTCTTTAAAGTTAATAAATAAAAATTGTTTAAAAAGAAAGAAGACAAATTATGAAAATCAGATATGAAATTGGTTACATTACTTCTGACCTTACAGGTATAAAAATGATTATAGAAGAATACAGTGAATAATTGTACATCAACTAATTAGGCAACAAAGATAAAATGGACAAATACATGAATTACCAAAACTGACTTAAGAAGAAACAGAAAATCTGATCAAACCTGTATCAAGATATTGAATCAGAAATCAAAAACCTCCCAACAAAGAAAAGCCCTGGACTAGATTGCTTCACTAGTGAATTCTACCAAACATTTAAAGAGGAATTAACATCATTGCTCTCAAACTCTTATAAAAAGTCTAAGAGGGAACACTTTTAAGGCCAACATTACTCTGTTACTAAAGCCAGAGATCTCACAAGAAAGAAAATTACAGACCAATGTATCCTATGAATATAGATGTAAAATATACTAAAAAATACTAGCACCTTGAATCTAGCAGCATAGTAAAGGATTGAAAATCAGGAACAAGTGGGACTTACCCCAGGAATGTATGTGTGGCTCAACATTTGAAAATAACTTATCACAACAGACTTCATTAATAGAGTGAAGGAACAAAACCACCAGATCATTTCAACTGATGCAGAAAAAAACATTTGATAAAATCCAACACCTTTTTATGACAAAAATCAGTTCCTTATTTCAAACTTATTCAGCACACTAGGAATATAAGGGAACTTCCTCAACATAATAAAGGACATTTATCAAAAGCCCACACTTAAATTCATATTCAATGATGAAGGACTATGATTGGGAACAAGATAAGGATGCCCACTTGTGTTTCTATAAGCTAGAAATGAGCAATTAGCAAAATCCAAAAAGGATATTAAGAAAACAATTTCATTTGCAATAGCATCAAAAAGAATAAAATACTTAGGAATAAATCTAACCAAGGAGGTGCAAGACTTGTAAACTGAAAACTATAAAAAATTGCTGAGCCCTAACCGGTTTGGCTCAGTGGATAGAGCGTCGGCTTGTGGACTGAAGGGTCCCAGGTTTGATTCCAGTCAAGGGCATGTACCTTGGTTGCGGGCACATCCCCAGTAGGGGGTGTGCAGGAGGCAGCTGGTCAATGTTTCTCTCTCATCGATGTTTCTAACTCTCTATCCCTCTCCCTTCCTCTCTGTAAAATAATCAATAAAATATATTTTTATTTTTATTTTTTTATCTTTTTTATTATTTATTTATTTATTTATTTATTTTTTAATTAAATCTTTATTGTTCAGATTATTACATTTGTTCCTCTT